GTGTGTGTGTGTGTGTGTGTGTGTGTGTGTGTGTGTGTGTGTGTGTGTGTATGTGTGTATGTGTGTGTGTGTGTGTGTGTGTGTTATAACCTACAGGGATGAAATCGCTGATGGAGATCGGATTAGACGTGACTTCCAATAATTATGGACATAACTTATAACCGTATAAGAATAACACAATTTTATCCAAACAAACCTCAATAATTATGTTTAATACGGCATCAGTCGTAATTACTCACTAGGAAACGCATATATACCGCAGTTCTGTGGCACACAGCCAATGGGGTAAAACTTCTGGCAGATGATTGGAGGCAGAGGGGATAAACTCTGCCTCCAACACAATTCTTGCACATGGCTTGCGCGCTGGTATTCACCAGAGAAATACCAAAGCCAAGTGCTTGTCTGGTATATAACAGACTGTCGTGCACCAAATATGATATCGATGGTGAATTCTCGAAACGTCAACTATGAGAGTACGCAACGCATCAAACACAACGAGTCCTCTGTAAACTACCTAGCTTCATCGGCGGGCAGAACGAGCGACTGTAACTAACATGCATGTGCTGTGTAAATATAGGAACGTGCGCCCTTCTTAGACCCAAGTACATACTATGCTACCGTATGAATCATGATGTGACGTGTGTATACATGGTTGGAATCGATGGAGATGGTATAGCTTACATATTCGATGCTACATGTGTACCAGCGTTCGCCGACGATTGCTCATGCGTATATGTTACCTGCTGTGCCTGTATGCAGTTGTCTATCGTTTATAGTATGTAATACGTATACGACAGTTTGCAATGAGAAGAATGCGTTATTTGACCGAATCCGTAATCGTATCGTATCCGTAATGACCGAATCGTAAGTTGCGTTCCAGCTTTTCAGAACATCACACGAATAACTTACCGGCAATAGCGCACATACTCAGCAGCAGAACGACGTCCAATATCATGGACGTCATTGTTCTTTAGTTTGCCGGGCCTTCACTGTCAGTCGATGCGTTAATAATATGGGAATCAGCAGCAGTTCCCGGTTTTCAAAGTGAGCGTTCGCATCTCTATAGAAGCTGCGCACGTTAGCGTGTCAGATGAGCAGAATTGCATCGCATCTCTCCGTGCACTGATGTTGTTAAACTCGTATAAACCAAATTAGGAGGGTATACCGGAAACAGATACCGACCGGCACACTCTTCATCCGCGATTTCATGCCGCGCGATAAAGCTCTATGAAAATACGACCATCGGAGTCTGGCAGTTGCTGTCGACTTCTCGCAGTTGGTTAGCGCATGCTGCGCTATAGGCCGTGCGCCGACAGATTTTAGCAACAGGCGAGCCACTTAAATTACTATGTAGCACGATGAGACGACATGCTGTAGGTTGTTTAGCTGCGTGTTTGTGTACGACTGTATAGATGCATATGTCCATTGTATATATATATATATATATATATATATATATATATATATATATATATATACTACTAGTGTAACTACACTACTACTACACTACGTACACATATACGACACACACGACGACGTACGGACGGACG